AATGTAAGTTTGCCTCGCGGCTTTCAACTTTCCTCCAAAAACTGGCTCTACCTACTTAATGACTCGATAGATTCTCGCAGTTTCTATTGTACGAGAGGCGGATAGGACAGATGAAAGTCGTCCTGAAGCATTCGCGTTGCTGACAGCTTATATAGAGCTACTAAGTAACAGCAGCGGGAGGCGGTATCTATACCAGAATGACTGGGAGTGAGTAAACGGAATTGAAGTGGAGGATCAGGAGAAAAGCACCATCATGGCACCGGAATCATAATTCAACGACAATGCGAAATGTTGAGGGTTTCTCATGTGCTGTTCAAAATGATGGACCAGAGCGAAGGCTCGGATTTGCCGAGTTTGGCAAGCCCGAGGTCGCAATTCCACTCGCGTCTACGAATACAATAAGCATCGCAGTTGAAACCGCGACATTGCGTATTGATACCTCTGTAGAACGGCACTCGCGCTCGTGCTCTATACGACATACTGTGGCTCGCAAGCCTTTTCGCAGTGCCTAAGAGTGCATATGGTCTCGGAAGTTGGGAGCAGTCGCCGAAGCAGCTACTAGTGTGGCACACGCCACATAGTCCCGACGAGACAATCCTGCGCTCTGACTCATTATCCTACCGTGCCATACCGCAGATATAGCCTATAATGGACGAGTATTTGTCATTTTGGACCGTAAAAGATTTTGGACTCGGACTCCCATTGTAATTGTTTTAGCCTTTGAGTAATGAGGCATACGAGCGAGAGAGGAGGCGGGGGAGGGAAGAAGAGCTTGAAGTAGATATTCATGTAGCGTCAAGAGCGTCTGTTTTTGTCTTTGTTGTATTCGCACGCCTTCGGCCTCACCAAAGAGCATGAAATCGGCGAGGTCCAAAACTGAATAGACCTGCCTTCCTGCCTTCCGCCGAGAATCGAAGCTCGGACTGGAACTACCCTCACTCGTAACTGATATACCCAGTTCGAGCAACTGTCTTAAGAGATGCTACCGAAAATTTCCAACCCCAGATACGAGCAAAGATGCGGCGATATGTGATTTGAAGTAGTGCGTACGTAGGTAGGACTCAAGACGTTTTCTACTACGGTACGCATCTCTCATCTGTTACCAAGGGATATAGCGGCCTAAAAAAAAGACAGGCAGTGATAGGCAAGATATAGAATCCACCACGATGAAGAATCTGAAGAGAGAGAGGGAATTCGATATTGAGGGGGTCGTCGTCATCGTTGGAGGCGGTGAAACGGTCGAATGGTAACCCCAGGAGCCGTAAGAAATGGCACACCAATGTGTTAACAAGACGAATGATGACAACATGAACACGATGACAGTAGCACCACCGCGGCGAAGGAAACAAGAGCATAACAATACTATCAGCAGATTATAGATGGTGGTGTGATGTAAGAAAGAGGGACAAAAACATACAAAGTGGTCCTGATAACAGAAACTTACCATCTATTACGGCCATGAACAACCTCGGTGGCCGCACTCAATTTTTGAGTATCCAATCCTTCGCGGCATCGAAACTGAAAAAGCCTTTTGCAATGGGCTCAAACGGAAGTCTTCTCGTCAGAAGGTACATTTCTTCACTAGAGGGCCTTGTAAGCTACAGGACGTATTCAAATAGCGAGACCAGAGTACGTACAAGCTGCCTACGATTGTCCGCACCCGGCCACGCGCAATGGCGTAGTAGCAGTGTCGGCTCTGAGAGACGAACCGAGCTTTAGGACTGAGAGCATTGATGAACGCTTCGAAGTCGAACACTTCATCTTCAGTGGACGGAATGAAGGTGTTGATCGACGGAGGGTCATTGGTGATTTCTGTCCCATGACGATAGGTCTACGAAGAAGGTCAGGTTCAATATAATAATGTTAGGAATTCAATTTACTTACGAAGTTGAGCAGTGGACCAGTAATCCTAGACGATATCCCCTCAGCAGCAAAAGAAACTGATATGCTATTCCCAGTTGAGCGTGACGACTGTAATTTCGATCTTGTTCCACCCAAGGAATCGTTTTCATCATCAACATAGGTATCAGTGCTGTGAGCCGGTAGGCGAGAACATGGAGATGCAGAAGAGGGAAAAATCGAAGTATTGGCCGCCAGTCCATTTTGTCGGTATATGCGATTCATCTCGCGCCGAGCTTCAAGCTTGGTCCGGAAGACGTGCACTTTGGCTCCAGGCGTAATGGCAGAAGCGGCCGCTGCGCTGAATATAAAGTGCTGTCAGATGATCCCTCGAAGAAGGCATAAACAAACTTACAGTGAGGGGTATAGCCCAGGGGAGTGACCCCCGATCACGACGACGACCATTTCACGCGAGTCAGTAGGTATTGCCGAGGGAGGTGGGGTTTTCTCGAAGATCTCCTCGGTGGTTGGTGCTGAAATATCGCCACTAGAAGTAGTGGGTAGAGGAGGGTCCGCATCGATAGGAGTGTGGGCAGGAGCCGAGTCAGGAGCAGCAAGGGAAGATGTCTTGGATGCAGCAATACCGGCATCAGGATTGGTTAAATTGCGGTAGAAATGAGGAGCAGGCAGAGTGGGAACTCTGGCGTTGGAAGTAGAGGAAGCCAGAACTTCGAGAGTAGTGAGGGCAGGAGGGACGGGTACTGCATGTGCGGCTTCTCGTGTAGCAAAAAGGTCGTCAAATGAAGGAGAGAGGTTGGAAGAGTTGAGAAAAGAGGAGTCTGGGTTCTTGTTTCCGTCGTGAGATAAGACACGAGAGTGAGGAGAAACAGGTGGGGGAGCGATATCTACCGAGGTATAGCGATCACCGTCGTCCGTAGATGTGGTGATGAAAGACTCGATGGACGGAACCGTCGAGAGGACTGGACTAAAATGGATGGGTAGATTGCAAGACGGAGTGGATAGTTGAGGTGTGGAGAGGACGACCTTCGGAAGACTCGGCATTGTGGTTATGCGGCGCAGACGACGCTGGCGCGATTTTTGAGAGACACTGCTCGCCATGTTGGACTGCATGGTGAAGAGAAGGGTAGGGTATAACAGTCTGCGGACCATTGCGTGAGATAGAGCGGCATTGACCGGAAAGGGGCCGCGAAGTGGATGGTTTAGACGCTGAGGAAGCAGCGGAGGCCATGCAAGGTATACGTAGAGGTGGCTCTCTACTGCCGTGAGTGCCTCAAATGCCGAGCTATCGCAAGCATAACATCATGGTGATTACATAGACATATTGAACGTCTGTCGTTCGGCGCTGCTGAGAGAACTTTGGAAAAGAACTCTGACTGACTGTATATCTCAGAGATCTGTCAAAACCATTTCCATCCCAATAAGCTGCAGAAGCGTAAGCCGACCGTGGGAGGAGCTCGCTGGAGCTTCAAAGACCTGCCGAATTGCCCGAGCGTCAGGTAAACGGAAGGGGGTCAGTAAAAGTAATGTTACCATGAGGTGTACCAATGATCATGAAGCATCAGTTCCTTGGGCACAAAAGCATGTCGGCGTCTCTAAAATCATCGGCAACCCTGCGGAAATGTAACCGTACACGTAGAACAGACTGCTAGCTTCAAGCTTCGGAATTTAGTAGTAGAAGTAATAGCCTCGTTAGATCAGTCGATACGTTGTACGAACATCCCGCACCACTTCCGTCACTGATCAATAAGCGTGAACAGACGGGGCAGAGAAAAGCGATAACTACCACGCCAGCATAACTAATCCAGTTGTCTTTCACTCAGGCTGGAGTGTCGAAGTCGATGCTCCAGGGAGGACGCGAGACTGAGGAAGATTCGAAGCACATGGTTGGACTGTTCAAGGGCTCTGTCGGGAGGCAAGATAAAGTGTAATCGTCAATCCGAATGGCGTGTAGTGAACCAGAACTTCGTGATTCCGATAGCAAACTCAAGGAAGGAAGTAAGAGGAGGTCCATAGTTAGCACCGTTACAAGTCGCCACATTTACAGCAAGGGGATTGGTGCTTTGTCTTTCGTGCGTATTGGCATCTGGCTGGCTACATTTATCCCTTCATGCAATTATACTTCTTCATCGTGAACCTCTTGCCTCGATGGCATAACGCTGTATACCGCCACACTGAGACTCAAAGTCAGGCGTGTACTTACTAGCCATATTATCCCTCCAAGGAGAATCTCAATCGAGACGATATGGAGGACTAGAGTCTCTAAGAAACGGCTTTCAGAGAGCATTGAATGTGAGTCTGTGACAATCCAGACCAACAAGACTATGGATAAACTGTCGAAAAGTCGACTCACTCGAGTCACCAAGACCGTCGCGAGCAAATCACCAGCGGGAAGCTACCGTTGCTCGGACGTCCATTTGTCGTGACCTCTACCGGCACCCTTCTATGATTGTACGTACGCGTTGAGGCTCAAGATGCCGCAGACATCTTGACATCGAAATGCTTGAGGAGTAAGTTTGAAAGGAACATTAGCCCGAGACTCGGCTCGACACCGGATCGCGTGTTGCAATTTCCCACGACCTCTGTCTTGCCACGTTCTGTCACGTTCTTGCTCCCATCCTCGTCGTTCCGCTATTTTCCACGTTTCGACCATGTTCTCCTTTCTTCTTCTCAGCAGTCCAGTCTACTCGTGACGTCTGATCGTGTCACTGTATACTCTCACTAGACCACCCCTTGCTCCGATCTGTCTTGATGTCGGTGTGTTCCCTGCCCCTTCCTTTCCTTTCCTATCCTTCAATTAAATATCCCCAAAAACACGATACCATCATCGTTTCCTCTATCTTGCGTACTATCGTCTCCAATGTCGATTACGAGCGCTCTAGCTGCGCGCCCTCACACTCAAGCGGCTGCTTCAACCTGTCCCTTAAGAGCGTCCACATTCGTCGTTTCATGCTTCTTACTCTGCGACATCAACGTGGTTTTGGTTTCGAGCTATGACAGCATATTTGGTGAGCTATGATTCCACTTTCTATCCTTCATTTTGACTTTTTGTGTCCACGTTCGCGGATACTATTCGTCCTTATGCAATTGGCGTCGCTGTCGGCTGCCAAGCACTCCCACTCATGTCTTTGCCCAAACGTTGTCTTTACCCCAGCTTGAATTTGGACTATGTTCTCATCGCTCCAATCTCAATCCACCCTCTTAGCTTAAGCGTACCCGTCTAAGCTCTCATCACCGTGCAACAACCCCCGAATACATCTGTCTCTTTACGCCTGATCGTGCATGTCTCCATCCAACACATCGTGTCTGCTCGCTACGGACAAAAGCGGAATGGACGATAGAAGGAGTTTACGTGCGCGTAGATTACTTCAAGAAGTGTCCGCCAAAATCAGACCGTGCCGTGCGACAGCCTTCATCTTGTATGGACCTGCGGAAGTACTGTTCGAACGAGGTGTCGAACTCGTCGCTAGCAGTGCTTTCATTTCTAGAAGGTCCGCTCCCGACAGCAAACGTATTCGAAGGAGTGAAAAGTGTCGGTGAGCTTGGGGTACTCTCGAAGAGAAGAGTGGTCTATATAGTTCTAGGGATGTTCTCATCTCGTAGAGGTTGGGGACTCGGGCGCTCGAGAGTGAAGTGTGACTATCGTCTCCGTGTGCACTAGCTAAGACCCGAACCGTCTGTGAAGCATGACGGGGTGATAGAGTAAAGCGCCCCGCTGGCTGGGGAGTGGGCTCAGATGGACGAAGAATAGATCGATTAGGAGATGGGATTCGTTGTGAAGGCCGTGGTCTGCTTATTTGGTTCTTGATTTTTCAACGCTCTATGTTGTTCTTAGTGAGTGTAATTTATGATAACTGAGGGTCGTGTTCGTGGTTTCATGCCTACGTATCTAATTAGCGTATCGGTCACAAAGCCCCAAAGCCTTATATGACTGGATGACTTCCTGTAAGGAAAAGATATGTTTATTCGGGATTGATTCAACGCGATCGCTGCTCGGAAACGCTCCGAAATGAAGATCGCAGCTCAATGGTTGGCTGCAGTTGGCTGCCGTCTTCATCTCCGAGCCATGCCGAGCGGTGATCGCGTCGAATAAACATATCATTTTGTCTACGGGAAGTCATCCACTGACGGCAGCCAACTGCAGCCAACCACTGAGCTGCGATCTTCATTTCGGAGCATTGCCGAGCAGCGATCGCGTTGAATCAACCTCGAATAAACTTATATTTTCTCTACGGGAAGTCACCCACTGTGCCAATGCCGAAGACTGTCAAATACCTTTCATGGTTTTGTTTCGGCGTCACTGCGATCCCATAGGATCCATCACGGGTGTCAAGAACCGGACATCACCTCCCCGACTTATTGCATCCCGCTCCGGTGCCTACATCTGATTCAATCAGACGGATATGCTTGGCTGTCCCTGTCAAGAGGTTTGGCTGATCGCGCCATATGCCAGCACCCTTCCTTCCTTCCTCACAAGGCCACATATGTAAAGAAACCAATTTGAATGTAGTGCGGTTTGATCTCTTTCTTCCCCGTGGTGTCTACGACAACACGTAGTTCTACCACATAATCTAGGTCTTTATTTAGCATATCACAGAGGCCGGACTTGGCGGTCCTTGGGACTTGATTTGTATATTTTCATCAGGACGGGGAACAAACGTTGTACCTGCCATCCATCCTGTTACGGAACGACGATAAGTATTCGGTATCTTCTAAGGCAACGGCCGATATATCAAAGAACTGCATCTTAGTTCACCTTCCTCGCGGTGCTAGTTATCGGCCGTAAGGGAGTTGACTCGAATGTGATCGTCGGGCATTGCACTTTTCGCGCAGATCTCTATCCTCCGCGGAGAGTCCCTGATGATGCGTAGTTCAAGTTCAACCGCTGAATCTCGCACCAATGGAAGTTTGCGTTGCGTTCCATTCCCGTTACGTTCCACGAAGGCCGGACATGGTGTAATTCGGCGTTGTCCTTGTGCGCATCATTCGTGAGAGGTATCAAAATTGCTTCTTCTAGCTTCTTGTTCCCCGTTTCCTTGGGTTTTGGGTGCTCTTTTCGTCGAATATATTTGGCACTGGTAACTACTGCGGGTATCTGTCGAAGTCTCTGATTGCTCTGTGATGTTCCAATATATTATAACTTACTCAGAGGAGTTCAGCTTCACCTCAAGTCCAACGGCCGAATCTTCACTTCATTTGTTTTTCTTTGGGTAAGCTACTGTGTGTGGTTGCCCCTTGATAAACAAGTGGGTGTGTCTTCGATTATCCACTCATTCCCCTTCCGCACAAGACAGCCTCGTTTCCCACTCTGTTGCTACCGGTAAATTCCATCGTGAGGGTGAAGCAAGGGCTTCGGTCACCCAAGTCTGGACGCGGTGTAAGACAAGCCGCCTGTCCATCCGCAGCACGCGCAGAAAACACATGCGAGAGCGGGTCGTGGAATACGGTACCAACAAAGCTTGGTACCAGCAAAAAAGGAGTGGTGGGCGGAACAAATAGGACCCCTATCTGCAGAGGGCGAGGACGTCCACTGAGCCGGACAAAATTTGGAGGTTTGGTAGTGGAAGGCCGTCCGGAGGACGGACAAATTTTGGCGCTTTTGGGAGTTGGCCGTCCGCCAGTCCGGACATGCCCTGTTTGGTCACCGTGCGCCACTCTGTCCTTCCTTCCTGTCCGCGAAATCCCGATAAGGGACTCAGTTAAAGCGAAGAATGCGTGAAGGGCGCAAAGGCAAAGTTTGCGCGCTTGCACTTGAGTGCACGGCAAGTGCCGGCATCAATGGCGCTCATTTGGCCCAAAGGCACAAGCTTTATGTTCTCTCATCGCAGTGAGTGTCTGTTTCTTTCTCGAGTCATTGGTGAGGTTAAATCATGACCGTAACACTAAAACACAATAGAGATCGATGCCTTTTTTCCCCGTCTTAGTAACTAAATTTGACCCACTTACTTATATGGAAACCCAATGGATCCGCTCGGTGAGGGTTCAGCATAACATCTCCTACTAGTTGGCTCTAACGATCAAACTATGTACGAGTGCACCGTGCTTTTACGTTAACATCCCTGTACTGGTGAGACAAGAGCTTTAGCAACTCGAAACCGTGGATATGATTGGATGGGCATTCCGGACGCCACAGAGGCGTTCGGATCCTCGTGCCACGACATGTAAGTAAAAGCCTGGAGATGGCAGGGTACTATGCGCTGGAAACTATGTGGAGGTATACGTAGAGAGCGACTCCAAGGAAGTTTGCTTGTCATGTATTACTTGCATAGCCCTAGACAAAACCTCGCCGCATCGAGTGGCCATGGGGTGCTCTATATATAGTTTGGCTTACAGTGTGCAAACCTAACTTGGCGGGCCTCTTCTTGCCGTTTGGCTGCTTCAACACAGGTCGCCTGAATCATGATTTATGGCTCTCGAACACAGCGGATGCACACCCGACGTGATGAACTTCACTGGAAGTTTAAAGTCCGAGCCTCGGCCCTTCTCTCCCTGTCCTTCTTGTTTGCCGAAGTTACACTCGTGCGAGGTCGCCGCCCGATAGTATCATGATCAACCCAGTCTTCCAAAACACGCGAATTGCCCCCACTTGTTTAGCGTATCGTCCCTCGTTCGCTATGCCCTTGTACTCGGAACGACAACTTCGTCCTTTCAACGTCCCATCCCCTTCACCAAGCGTCGTCTCCATGTCCGGCAGCGATGATACTAGCCGTGCAAGCTCGTGAGTACTCGTCTTCGTCATCGTCCAAAAGAAACTGGGTGTACCACTTCATCGCCTCGGTCGATTAACGTATATCTCGCTCGATGTTTTAACATTCTCACTCCCTACGCCACCCGTGAGCTAATGGCTTTTTCACCAGAGCTCCCCCGAGAGCTTACAGACGAGATGCTGCACTACATGACGATTCAACTCCACGCTCTCCCAAGCATTTGAGAGACGATGACATCAATCCACAGCACCCGTCCGATCCGACTGCGGTCTCGTCGTCTCCCTATGTTTCTGACGTTAGTCCAGAGCATGCCGACGCCAGACAAGACGCACTTCGAAGGGTTCTCAGGGATGCATATCATCGGTTAGTCGCATCAGGGCCAGCTCTACTTATCCTCGACCTCGTTCTGACACCACCAGTGGTACATAGCCAATCTACTACCTGTCTTGACTCGACTAGGAATGGGTACAGAGATAGGTACTTCAGTCCAGCGTCACATCGCGCTCCTGAGGTCGTTCCCTGTGCGGCGTGCACTGACAGGTCAGTATGCCACACTACTATCAATATGGACCTTTGTCTGACTTTCTGTTGCTGTGACGAGAGTGGTCGAGTCTTGTCCGGGTGCTGCACTTTCTACGAGGAAAGAAATCTTCGTTATCATACTCTTGCTTCGCAACATTATTATATGACGTTGGGATCTTTCTCGTATTCATACCCGGCTCCCCTGCCTCCCTCTGTTCCGTTCCGAGCGTATAGTACACCTTCTGGAATTGTGCGCGATCATGAAGAACACAGCTCTCGCTATACCATGTACGTTTTTTCTCGTCACTGAGGTCCATCGCAGCACTAACTACGTCTGTAAGAGTAGTCGTGCAGATGAACGCTGTTCCAACATGAACGCGAAACGAAAGCGCCCCGCGGATTTCGAGTGAGTAATTTAACGACAAATGATACATTCCTTCGTTCTGTATAAACCGTTCACCCGTTAATGTCATACTAGGGATCAAGACGATTCATCTGATGGTGACAGCGACGAATATAACGCGGACTCGGAAGCGTCCATGTCAATTGCCTTTAAGTCTGCCCATTTCCATTTAACTGTTGTCCAAGTATTGATATTAACTGCATGCAATGATGCATTGCTTCTCTCGCTAGCGGTAAACGGTCGACGCCAGACACCATTGCGATGGAAGTTAATTCAAAATCCGTCCGAGACACGCACCGTTATTCGATGGCGAAGGCCACTGAGCCCTCCCAAACCACAGAAGCTTCAATATCTGACGCGAGCGCCACTGCTACTGTGACCAAATCTGCCAGCACTGGCGGTGACAGGAGGTTCAACTCTGATGAAGATGGGTTTTTCTACAACGAAGCCGGTGTCAAGCTCGAGGTCAAAGAGGTGTCCGTCTCTTACGATACGAAGCAGTGGTTGAAGCATGCAGAGAAAGCGAAGGACGGTCCTAATCCACTGTGGTGCTGTATCTGGGAGACGAAAGATAATGGAGGAAGAACCATCTGCGGGTACTCCTCAAAGACCCACCTCGTTAAGCGCCACATTGAAAACACTCATCTGTAAGTCCGCTTTCTTTCGATGTCTCTCCTGTCCACCCATGTGTCTCGGTTTTTCGTGGTTCTACAGGAACATTAAGCGCTTCATGTGTACCTGGTGTGGCAAGACATTTACACAGCGCAGCAATGCTGCTGGTATGTCTTGTCTTTAACTTGTTTTCGCTCGACATACTACTCACAACTTCTAATCTATGCAGGCTGCCACTTGAACACACACACAGGCGAAGAGCCTCACAGTTGTAAATTTTGTGGCGAGAGGTTCAATGATCCGTCCAAGAGATACAAACATATGGCACGGCGCCACGACTATCTTCCTTCAAAGAGACACAAGAAGTTCAAGGCTGACAATGGCCGGCTCGCACCGCACGAGTCGGTCGCATTCAGCGTGTCGACGCCGAGCCCTCCGCCGTCCCTTGTTGATCGTGAATAGAGTAACCCTGCTGCAGCGCACTTCCCCCGTTGACTTCCACATGGATGAACTGTACCCCGTATTACTATTCGTGCCTTTCTGTTCGCTTACTATATATTTCTGTGCTACTTAGCTGACCCACTTTCGTGTTGGTCGGTGTCGGCATCGTTCCTGTCCTGCACTCACTGGTATATGCATGTCTTCCCATCTTCGTTGCTCTCGTCTTGATCTCGCCGAGGTCGAATCTTAGCCCGCCCAGTTAATGTTATCACCTGATACAATATTTTTATCCAGATCAACGCCTCAGCTGTGGCGAGAGCTTGTGCTGTGGGACCCGTTAGGAGGCCGATGGTGAAGCTGAAGATGATACCCATCGCTAGAATTGATGATGTGGAGGTTTATGGACGTTGAGCAATGAGAGGAGGCAAGCTCTCTCTTCGAGCGAGCGTGGGTGGCACTCGTGGGAATGGACCATGGCGGGCCACAACACCTGGAGACAAGTCCTTTATCGCGTTCGTGTTTGTTTCCCTGGGTGCCGATATTACTGATGGCAGAGAAATGCGTAAAAGCTTGATATCTTGTATGAATTTAACGTGATGTCAGTACAATGAACGATAAGTGGAAGTCAAACTGCGACTGAAGGACGTGCTGTTTTTCTGGGGTCTTGCTGAAGGGTATCTTGAATGCGCAGGCTTGCGACCATGCCGTACGTTAAGGACAACGACTTCATCATTAACAAACTGGCGGCTCGTAGTCTGGCCGAATGCATACAGGAAAATAGATGGTTACAGTGGACGATCTGGGCTACGGTAGATTTGCCACATGCGTAGGACTTAGGACGAGCGTCTGGTTGTAAAGGGCCTGGTGTGGCGACTCGTCAATTCGTATTTTGACTGTGTTCACGAATGTCTATCTTGACACGTACCTGAAAATGAATCTGTTCTACGACTCCGCCGTGCTGTAGGTCCTCTTATGTCCTTGCACATCATCCGTCACTATGCTCAGGGTTCGAATTGCGAAGGCCACAGAAGAGAAGAGAACGATGGACGAACGTACCCCTTGTCCGATAGCTGGCGCAGATCCTGTGGAGAGAGAGAGGGAGAGAGAGAGAGAGAGAGAGAGAGATGTATTAGATAGGAATTACACGTAAATTGACATGATAAGAACAAACCGACCTGGACAAGAACTGAGGAGTGGACTGCACTGATCTCGGAGGCGACTCCCTAAACGCAATCTGATACTCCGCCGGGTCGAAGTCTTTGGCTGGGAAACTCACCGCCCCGACTTTGCATAGAGGCTGACTGGATGAAGCCAACCAAGATGTTAATAGCGGTCCACGAATGGGGCTCCAGTACTGGTTCGAAAGACGTCTTCTCGACCACCGCTGTTCTGAGATATCCGTCATTCGTGGGTCAGCATATTGAGAAACAAGCAAAGATCAAGCAGACGCACCATAGATCTACCCAGGCCAGAGAGACATCACTGTCGGGGAGAACAGTCTGACGGATGTGACCAACCGCTGCGATAGCTTCTCCCCCGCACAGCAAGAGCCCTCCAGGCTGTTCCGGCTCTTCCACTATTCTGTTCTAACGCATCCGTTTCGTGTCGAGTGGCCGTGCCCACGCACTGTGAGCGAGTGTCCCCGCTAAGTTGGCGAAGGTCGTTGGGTTGTGCACCTGCGCCATCCGTGTCGAGTCTTCGCGTTGAGCCTGCAGTACACAAGAGGTTAAGGAAGGAGGGCTCAGCTTCCGATACGAGTGGATTCGCAGCGGAGAGGCTGTTGGTGGTGAGAGTGGTAGGCATCGATTTTGAGGTCCCCGCTAAGCTGGTGAAGGCCGCCGGGTCGTCGCCATCCGTGTCGAGTCTTCGCGTTGAGCCTACACATTACGTTGGGTACACAAGAGGAAATGGTATTAGGGAGGGACAGGAGAAGAGACCGCCCATTTTCTGATGCGAGTGGATTCGCAGCAGAACTAGGTGGTGGTTCACGTCGAAGTCGAGACGACGGAAACGCGCCATCCGACCGCAGCGCCACGTGGGCACTCCTTCCCACACTCCGCCACCTCTCGCCACACGCATCTCCCACAAGCTGAAGTCGGCGCAATTCATGTCCTGCTCCCTTTCGGCTCCATGCAGAATCTCGCATGCTAACACGTCTTCGCACAAGATATTTTACCAGCTTCTACAATGAATTGAGAGACCTGAGCTACTATCTGACTCGCTGTATGTACATATACTAAGAAGTAGATCTAGAATGAAATTCCCGTCAAGACATAAAAAGACGGTGCCGCGATAGTAATACGACCGCGATCATTCTTCAATAGAAGCTGTCGAGGAAGACAACAACAAGGCAGTGAACAAGAAGAGAAAGGAATAGCAAGAGAAAAAATCATTCCGACTCTCACCCATGAATATTCGTCGGACTTTTGTCGCCAAAAATGTTATTCGTGAAGCTCGAATCAAGGGGTTTTGTATTCGACATGAAAGTAGCTAAACACAGCAGTGAGCGGTACTAAGATATGGTCTATGTGCAGCATTACGGAGCATCAGGCCAAGATAGCATGTTAGCGACGAGAGTATTCGAAACGAATTGAGACCAAAGGACGCGCGGCCCCGAATAGCAAGGAACTAAACCAAGAAAGGTTGAAGGGTGGCCTCTCCGTCATCGTGTTCCTTGATTCCAGCCCTCGGCGGAAAGGCCCCAATATCGACCTCTGCCTCCTTCTCCTATTCCGAGTCCGCCACTCGACCACAGGTATTTCTGGGGAGAGCATTTGGTAGTGGCGGTGCCAGATGGCTCCTCGATGGCGGACGTGAATTCCAACCTAATAGCACGAATTTAGGTACGAGCGTCAGAGTCGTACCCACCGATCAGGTTTTAACGAGCGCGGTCTTCGAGATCATAGTTGCATGAAGTTCCAAACCCACCGTTCAAACCGCTGAATGAGCAAGCCATTTGGTTTCGAGGCCTTCCAAAGTATGACTCCGCAGACATTGCGGAGGTGGAGGACCTGAAAACCTATCAATATTTCAATCGCCAGGGCGTAGAGACAAGCTATACGTACCCAGCCTAAACCACCAGTCGCTGAACCCGAGGGAACACCTTAGTTCATGAACTTGAAGAACACGCACTACGACGCAATACTATCGCAGCAGAAGAGGAACAAGGTCAGACGCTTTCAACGTAACATGACGAGCACGCGTCGCACAAACGTAGCTTGCAGCGGGTTGGTCGAGGCGGGGTTTGCGCGGAAAGACGGGGTAGACAGTTTTCTGTGATTGTGGAAAAAGGGAAGCGAAGAGTTAGCGTTGAGTGAGGGAATTGTTCGAGGGCAAAGGTGAGCGAGAATTACAAGGAAGGTAGTGCCGATGATTCAGCTCGGGGCTGAGTTAGAGCTAGCGAACTCAAAAAAAGTGTCAACGAATTACGATTCACTGACCTGTAGGAGCAAAAAGTCCGCAGGGGAGATTGACCACGACGACCCACCAAACGTGAGCGACACCGACACTTCTATCTTCCAAGCTGCATGCGCGCACAATACTAAGGTCAACAAACCCGTACCCTCCCTCAGCAGAGTGGAAAAAAAGACGCACGATAGAGGTAATGTCCCTCATAACTTCCCGTCCCCGCTTCCTGCCCTCAACATGCTCCGTCAGACCTCTCGCGAGCGTCTTCCGCGTATCGATCGCCGCATACATCTCGCTCCCACTGCCCGTTCCACGTTCGTGCCCCCAACACTCAGGCCCGTCACCACAAGTACTGCACTCGCGACGAAGATGTCGGACTACGTCGACCCCGCCCTTGACAGGATCAAACCCCTTCTCAAACTCATCACTGAGGTTCGTCGTACCGCGTCGCTCTTCCAATTGTGGCACTGACGTCATCGCGCCACAGAACCTCGCCCGTGCACAACGCGACCAGGAAAAGGACGAGCTTGACGAAGAAGCACTCGTCAAGAACGTTCGAACTCTGATTGAACAAGCTCATGGTATCCTCCAGGAAGCTCTTGGCGGAATCAAGGCCCTCGACCCGGGAGGAAAAGTCTCGCAGCAGTCTCGTACAGCGGCACGATCCAGCTTTCCACTGTGGTACGGCCCAGGCTTTCCTAATGGCCGAACTGAGTCTGGTCACTAGCATCGTTCGCTCCGAGACCTTATCCACCACGAGCAGGACCTCGTCCAGCACCGGTCTCGCCTGCTCTATTTTCGGCGCGACGGACGGTGGGTGATTAGGGTGTGGTAAACGCTGTTGAGCGGGGGTAGGATGTATGGATCGAGCGCCGGATGGAGAAGCCACAGCAGATGGGGCTTCGAGGAAGTTGTGGGAGGAGAAGACGGAGAGTGAGTAGATTGCGAGTAACAGAAGGAGGTAGCGGAAGAGGAGGTCGAGGTAGGAACATCAGTAGAGCGTCCGTTTATGTATCTGTGATAACGAGAGGGTTAGCGAAATGTGTTGACCCACACACACGCACAAGGTAGCGAGGATTGTGGTGGGCTGTCCCTGCGAGGCACAGAAGATGAGGGTCTGAGCAACCGGTTCGCGGCTGGAAGCACATCAGCTCGAACGCCATAGTCGCAACTTGAAGCAAATCATACGAAGTGAGAGAGAGAAACGAAATACAGACATACCTTGCCCTGTTTCTTATGCTTGCCCTGTTTCTGATGCTTGCCCTTTTGATTGCCTGTCTTTTCGAGTGAGTCATCCTACAGCAGAAAAGCGAACATGTCAGTCAATCAGTCACACGATACATGCTCAAAAAGTAGTACATAGAAGGCAAACGGGTCATTTCGGCGAGAGTACAGACTCGTCCGGTTACGAAGTGCCACACAAATATTAGGCGACCAAGGACTGTCCCTGTACAGTCACTGTGCAAAAAGAGCACAGATATATGCGTTTGCTACCAGGAGCTTCACTGCAACCATTCAGCGCATCCACCGGACTAAGCCCATTATCATATGCAACGTATGATGCCTTCGCTAGCATCTCATGGGTTCCATTGCTAGCTACAAGCTCATCGCAAGCAATCTACGCATCCATTCGCTAGCGACTTATGCACATCACGCATGGTCAACCAAAGCCTGCACGGGAATAGGAACAACTCGTAAAGAGTTCCCTGAGGACCGCCGCGGGACCATCAGATGCGGATTGAGCATTATTGACCGGCCAATCCCAGACCAAGAACAATACCAAGCTATGCACGCCGTGGTCGAGCTTAACGTCGACAACGACGAGCCCACCAAGTCCGCCGTGCATGATGGACGCGTATAGCTTATTACGACATGTACACCGTCGAGGTGGATCAAAACAAAAGGGACCATTGATGGAGAAAGAGTGAAAAGCAGATAAGTATACCCCATCGCCCACCTTCATCATCATATCAGGAAACTCCCCCCGCTAATTTCCGCTAAAATGCCTAATCGGGACGACGCGTCGAACGTGTGGCTGAGGTTCGGCCTGTGCAGGTCTGTCCCTTTCAGCGACGTCGTTCACGGCCTCCCGCTTCTGTTGTTCTGATGTCTGTACATATTATCGACATCCCGTACTTCTGCAACATAATCGTCGGCCTTGATTGTCAGATAAATGTCTTTGGAGTGAGAGTGAAGCACGCATTTCGATTGTGGTCGGCGACGTTGGACTCACATCGTTCGTGACGTTCTCGACCTAAAATCCAAGCTATTAGTGAGTGTCATGATGGAGTTATATACCGGTATAATTTGACTACCTAATATCACTAACTGGTGCCCCGTGAAGCGTGAACGAGCCCATAAACTTTGAGGGTGTCGAAGGTTGCTGGCACAGTGGAATCGGTGCATGCCTAATCGGGACAAGCGACTTGCGCTGGGAAGCACAAGTTACGACTTGCTTCCGACGTGTATTTCCTGCCTCTGTCTCCACTGCTGTCTCCCTCCCTGTGCACCGAGCCCTCGTCAAGTGCCTCCGAGGCAGCAGAGGCTGAGATCGTTGATCTTAGGTGTGTCTTGTTCCTTTTTCTCTTTTGTATAGTTGTCTTATAACCGTTGCTGATGCTTCTGTTTTGGCGCTTGTCCAAGCAGGCATCTGAGTGCGAGTAGATCGCCGAGGGAAACCTGGAGATAGAGGAACGGACGGAGAACAGCGGATACGGAGTTAAGGACAAGGGATGTGGGAGCAGGTGGCGACGTTAGCGAGGGCATTGAGCAATCAGCAGGAGGTATAGAATGGCGTATAGCCAAGCAGGACGAGGTGCGCAGTCTGTCTATGTTCTTGCAGACAGTTTTGTTTTGTGGGCTCGTCTTGCCTGGTGTCTGGTCCAGGCGAGTTGCTGTGCGCTTTGCTATGGTCCCCTCAATCATGCCCCAATCAGAGCGCTGGTATGTTCTGCATACGTCGCAGTTCCAATCCGACATCGTTCTCGTGGAAGCCTGTTTCGTTGCATTTGTGAGCTGTAGAACGTGTCCACCCCCTATTTCTTGTACTCCACTGACCGTGTGGTACTGCCATCTATGTTTCTTTGCAGGATGGCCCGTTCTTGTACCAAAGAGAACGCCACTTACGCCACCCGACTTCAGCTCAATCGGGCGAGAGCCCGTTTCTGTCGCGCTACGTCATCACGTCCGAATATACAAGGTGCAGCCTTTGGAACGCACCTCGCTGATCACCTTTCTTCCCTTCAACCATAATGTCGCGCCTTGAAGACCTGCCCACCCGCCCGCCGCCTCTTCTACTGACTTAGTATATCCTCTCATACCCTCATCATCCTTCCTGGAACCCGCTCCCTCCACCTCAGAACCTATTCTATCCCTCGGAACCCGGTGTGTCCCAAATACTTGTTGCTCGCCCGCCGGTGTTCATTTCTTTGTAGCGAACCCGCCGCCTGTGTGGTCAACGGCCTACATCCCCAGAGCCCCTCCCCACAAAGCCCATTAACTCCCTAGTACGCAAATCCGCCATTAGTCACCTGTTCGTGTCTCAAGAGATCGAAGGATGCAGTAGAAGAGCGGGTTGCGTACGACTGCGAGATGATGATATGGTGAGTGTCCCCTTTTGCGCTGTCATGAATTTACCCGCCGCCCTTCCTTTAACTTAGTTATCGCTGCATGATACTAGCGGGCCAAGTCGTATCAGATGCACACACTGGGTGCGTGTCTCGTCAGTCGCCAGAACGTCTTCCTCTCACCGTTCTTTCGTCTGCAAGTGACCGAGCTTCTGCAGTCTGGGAGGACATGTGGCCGCTTCACGAGGGCGTGGTGGTTTCGTTCTCGCTGTATGTGTACAACATACTCTACTGCTCATTATGTCTGTCTATGCGGGTGTTCGTCGCACACACGTCTCAGTGGCGCTCTGGCGGGGCGTTTATTTACCATACTACAATCTCTCATGTAACGTACCTACGTATTTAGCCAAATTTGCATATATAACCTTGTTTTGCAATATCTGAACCCGTGTGATTTGTGAACTACCAACAGCGCAACAGCAGCGAATGCCCGCCACCTTACGACCCTTTACGAGCACTTTTAGCTGAAATTAGGGCTAACGCCCGCTAATTAGACGGCCATTAGAGGGGGGGGAAACTTCTGAGTCCTGATTGAGTTTAGGGCTAATCCTCGCAAATTATGGCATTTTAGGAGCTCTTAGGAGGGGGTGGTTTCCTGAGTGCGCAACCGCACCTAGAATATCTATGGACAATATATCTAGCGTGAGTTTTAACTAGAGTTGTTGAGGTTGTGACGGGTCTCGAGGGTTAGTTCGTTCACAACCGTTGAGGACGGTTTCGAGAATTGTGGCGCGTCGTGAGCGATTGCAGAGCACGCGTCGCGCATATTTTATGCTGTACTGTGGCGGACTAGGATCCTGGACAGATGGGCTTTCTCGCTCATTTAATAAATAACCTGTCTATGACTTGCAGACTAAATGGCACATTTACGTATTCGAACATATATTCAGTATATTTACAAGTATTTACAGAGTTTGACGCAGTCAAACATCGTCAACGAATATTTTGCGGCGACGAGTGGGGAAAGTGGCAAAACAGGGAAACAGAGAAACAGATTTATTAGGCCGACTAAGTACGCTACAAACATAGCTCAGGCACACGTGCCTCGTCGGACCGTAAGTAAAGGGCGGTGATGTACGTAAGCCACAGTAAACGTACAGAGACCACGAAGGAAAGTGGTGGTGGTGATGATAACAGTACACAAATGATAGTCTACAAGTCTCGGGCGGCGGCCGCAATATCAACCAGGTACTCGTCTCTATCAAGGGGCAGATACACGGGATTCGGGTCAAATCCAAGGCTGCGTACGAAACTCGATAGTCCTTCAATACCTAAAGTCTCTTCTATATCTCTGTCAACCCTGAGCACAGACGGTACGTCTCCTGAATGCTCGAAAAGTGCCTTCCACCATCCTATCAAAGCCAACCATGCGAAGAGCACGCAACAGATCCAAGGGAGCGGAAGGTGGCGAGCCGCTGAAGGGACCTTGCGAGCGCAATTGACGACGAAACAGGATGTGCGAGCGAATGCGGTAGTGACAGCGTCCGGCGTAGACCGGAGAGAAGTGACGGAAAAGGAAGGTGATGTGAGACAGAGGGATGCCTTGTTTGGGACCGCAGCGGATGCATCAGCGGGAAGTGGGGGAGGGGATAGAGGAGGAGTGCTGAGCTTCAGTTTGAAGTTGTGATCTAGCTGCACGATGCGTGCATGGAGATCGCGAACCTGATGCTCGAGGGCGACGATGCGTAGTGAATCCTCAGAGTGAGAGAGTAAGGGAGCAGGCGTGCGAAGCGTCAGGGAGGCTGGTCTCGCTTTCCGACGTAGCCTGAAGCGGGCACAGGCTGCGTGGTTGGACTTGTCAGGAAAGGAGATCTTCGCGCCAGAGCTCTTCTCTTCCTCAGGAGAAGGAGGAAATACTGGGGGCCGGTAAGGACCGAACTTTTCTGTAAGACTGTCAGGTCTGCGAGGCGACAGCATGAAGATAGGGGTAAAACAGTGGTGGTGGTGGTGGTGGTGGTGGTGGTGGTGGTGGTGGTAATATATCTATGCGGGTGCACATAGAGCAGTCATGTATAACCTCGCTTTACAGCGGTAGAGACTGGTACTGGCGGTGGTGGTGGTGGTGGTGGTGGTTGTCAACGACTCGATTAGGGTTCTCTAGGTCGCGCTTGACTTGTTAAGACGAAGCTGAAGAGGTGGCTAAGGGAGGAAACAGACCAGAACAAGTCTGGGGATTTTATTCAATGTATCTACGAGTTTTTATACATCCAGACTTAATAAAAATACCTAAGCATGAATGACTCGAATGAATAAGAACAATGAGAGAATAATTGCGCGATATAGAAAGCTAGCCAATAAAATAAAGAGCTTTCTAAGCAATATTCAAGAGTAACGAATAGAGAGACAAGGATAAGAAAATGGCTCAGTAATCGAGTACAGTAATAATTATGTGAGCATTACAGAGCAGCACAAGATCAGAGAACGCTCGAAGAGGACGATAAGGAACGAGGGGGAGATGATCTCGATAGCGATCAGTGAGGTGGCCCGAGCTGGGTGGCGTAAGTAAGATCGCCGGGCCGGCAGCCGATTCAAATCATCGCTGATTTGACTCGTCTGCAGTCTTCGTGGCGAGGGTGTTTTTGTTTTTATTTCGCTCACGCCTTCTTAGGTAAGAGTACTAATATCTTTTATAGTACTACAAAAAGTTTATAACAGTGGTGGTGGTACCGAAAGGGCCCGGCTATTGCCGAATGAGTGGCGAAAAAGGTGTCAAAAGGCGCCACACCCCCTTGCCCACCGATTTCGTACACATAAGCGTTAAAAGACCAGAAGCAAAAAGTACCTATAGCGTTTCGATATACATCATTCTATCTGTTTAAATATTTGTGGAGTGCTACACGACTTTCTGCGCTCAGAATTCATTCGGATGTTTGAGAAGTGCAAAATCGGTAATTGCTATAAAATCGTGCCGTCTAGAAGCCAAACAGTCTGTTGAAAATAAGCAGACCTTGACAGAAGAAGTATTTTGTCGAGGCTTCAAGACCATAAAATTTTTGTATGAGGAAGATCATGGATGCTGGAGGTAGAGCCTCACGAAGTGGAAGCCTCTTGTGGCACCTTAGCCAGAGGATCCCCTTCACAAAAGATGTCCCATGCAAAAGTAGGCAACCATGGTCTGCCAGAATAATTTGAAATCAATTCTGACATGTTCTCATTCATACCCCACATGTATTTCTACGAGCATATACGCTGATATCAAAGGCGAGTCGAGGTGTCCATGTCGGTCGAGCTCCCTGCATGTGGCAAAATTGCCACACAAACCCCATCTCCGACAACATTTCACCATCTTCTACAAAATACTCACAAGGATCACACAAAATAGTTTTGCATACCACACGGGACGATGTAGGCCTACAGGCTATCTAGAGTGACGAAGGCACGAATATGTGTGCTTAAAATTCCAGGAAAGTTTGTCCAGCTTCTATGTCCGTCCAGCTTCCTAGTCCGCCACAGTATAAGGCAAGTCGCGCAACAAGGAGATTCAAACCCCGCTGTACCAGACCGTCTATCGACGGTTTGTGCTCACTTGCTTAGCTCTATAAACCGGAATTCGATAGGCGGTACTGGTGACGAGACTACAAGAACAGAAGGTAAGCTATCGCACGTAGTTGAAAAAATGAATAAGAGACACGGACGAGCGGTTTTGGCAAGCACAACACGGTTGATAACGTCTGTGTCATTGACTGGACCTCCATCCTCCCTATTCAGCACCTGCCACCCTTCGTCCGCATCCGCAGCCATCGCCTCCTCCACGCCAGATTTCTCGCCTGTACCAACGGGGATTGTAGCGCCCCTCATCCGCTCCGCCCGCAAGTCCGCGGCCCCATCAACCCCACCATTGATTACCATCCTGTCGCCCTTGCCCTCGCCCTGGCCCTCGCCCTGACCCCGTTCATCCTCATCCGGCTCAACCCTGTTCTCATTACCCTCATCGTCACCACGCTCTGTCTCTTGAAGGCGAACCACCCTATCCAGATAATCCCACACCCAATGAATGATCGACCCATCCAGCATCCCTCGGTTTGCAAAGTCGACGCGAGCAGCTGCGAGCTTATCGAGCCGCTGGTTCGTCTGCAGCATCTGACCGAGGGCCTTGTATCGGTTTGAGCGTCGCCAGGGTTCCTTGACGGTTTTGATATGTTTGGCCTCCGTCATCGATGAACAGAGCCCGTTCGTTGCAGCAAACTGCTGGATGAGGTCGCGGTAGTGTTTCATGGCGTGTTGGCGAGGCAAGGAGAACCCAGCAGGACCGGGCTCGCGGACTCCAAGGGCTTGGAAGATGGGTCGATAGTGGTGGTAGCGCTGAAGTGTGGCGTCAAGCTCGTCCAAGTCTTGAGTAGATAGAGCGGCACGGCGTGCGACGTAGCAGAAATCAATGTAGGCGGTTAGCGCACAGACTACTTCACGAGGTACATGGCCTTCAATAGCGTTGACATAAACCTACATGAACACCCCGATATCAGCTATTTCTGGATGTGGAGATGAGCGAACAATGATGTACATACTTTCATCAGCGCCTTCGAATCATCCCCTGTCCACTTCTTGAAGCCACGGCCCTCGGGAAAGCGTCGAAGCCCGGGGAATGGAGGCGCGAGTCCAATGCTATCAATAGGTTCACGACGATGCATGAGCGCCACGATGGAGAGATGAACGAAACAAAATACATACCGACGATTGATGTCATCCTTAATCTCATTTGCTCGTGCCTCACCATGCTGGATTATCAAGAACTCATCGACCCAAGTTACAAGGTGATCATGGAACCCGCCCTTGATCAGTTGATGGAGAATGTCTGGCGAGATAAGCTGACGGATATCCGCACAAGGGAAGTCATCTGTGAAAGGCTACACATACATAGTTAAGCAATGTCACCCCAACAAACGAAAGGATAAATACTGACCACGAGATCAGCAACGTAGCCATAGCCGTCCCATAGTTCACCGAGGCCAAGGAGTTCTGATGCGAGGTTGAAGTGATCCATCGTTCGAGGCGCAGGGTTACCACCGTCAAGATTATCGGGCTGGGCCGTACATCTAGAATGGAAGATGTCAGGTACATCATGACGACTTGGGAAAGAGGAAACCACATACCACCGTGGACACCAATTCTGCACGATGCAGGCCAAAAGGACCTGCTCCGGGTAATCTGCGATGTACGGTCCAATACCATAAACCACTCGACGGTAATGACCGTCCGGGCATCAAACAACCTCGGGAATAGTCATAGCCGGCTTGAGGGGTTGGAGTATTGTCGAAAGGGATGTATGGAAGAGTTGTCGTCGAAATTTATGGAATGCGGGGGATCCTGACTGCCGCTTATTCGCTATAAAGAGCGCATAACATTCAATATATAAGAAAACATATACATATGACTCGGACACTCAGACTACATACTCTTTGGGATAGAGAGAAAGGCCGCGAGGGAAAGAGCGCCGCGATGAGTCCGCCGAGCGCTGTTGTCGATGTTTCCTACCCCAAAATAGAATGGATAATAATCGTGCTGTCCAGTGGCGACGGAGACGGTGGTCTTGTCGCTGCCCAGAACGACGGGGACGAACATTGATCCGTGAGTTTGCGGATCCTGTGCGATGATGTCCCGTTGCGATACTCAAAGTTAGAACCTCAGCATATACACGGAAAGGGAAGTTGCTTACGCATTGTTCCCAAGCCCATTCACCGGACATGAGGTCGCAGTGGACACGCGAACCGTCGGGGCCAGTGAAGTCGCGGAATGGGGCTTTGTGAAAGTTATTGGCGAAGTCCGGGTTACCAAGCTGAATGTGTGCGAGTGTGCGTGTATCGCGCGTCCAAACCTCGTACTCCTCATCCATCCATGCTGAAACATGTCCCGCAGCAGGTCGAGGACCATTGTACTTGATTGTAAAGCACATCCACGGGGCGTCTCCGGCTTTGATGGAATCGATTATGTCGTAAAGCTCCTTGTGGTTGGTGAACGGAGGCGTCTTGGTCGTATCACCGTCGGTTGCCAGAAGGAGTAAGCCGGCGATGAGCTCGAGAAGCTCGTCGATCTTGGACTGAGACATCTGGACGCGTTGGTATAAGAAGCCGGCGAGTTCAAATTGAACGCGATTGTCGAATGGAGCCCAGTCGGAAGGGCGTTTGTGGAAGGGAGGAGGTGGGGGGCCGGGTGGGAGGTTAGCAGAACCATCCGATGTCGTTTCGGTGCCTTCATGTATGCTTCAGATGAAAGGAAGATGGTAAAAAAAGAAAATGGGAACATACCATCGAGAAACGGATGAGAGGGTCGATTTGTGGGAAGAGGGTTTTGAAGGAGGGGGACAGCTGAAAATTGGTCAGGACAAGTTGTGGAACGAAAGTGAAGGTGATACTCACCATCATCCTGATGGTTATTCACCGACTCTGCCCCGCCATCATCAGAACGTAACTCCACAGCTTCAGGGGTACCCAGGTCGACGAGGTCGTTGTTTTGATCGATGCTATGGTCGCTGTCAGAATGGGAAGACGATGGCTGGTTGGAATGTCTGACGGAGGCATCTGAATCGTCGGGTGATGTGTCGGTATTCTCGAAAACCGGATGCATTCGGTTGAGGTGTTCCTTGTATCCTCTCTGACTCTTGAAGTCGTCCACAGACGGCGCATTTGAAGCGCCTGAAGTTATATGGTCCCGGCATTACTAGCGGATTCGATGGACGAAAGATGGTGTTAGCTACGTGGACAGATGTAGTATTGTAGAGAGAAGATAATTGGACGAACCGAGTCTGCATTATAGCCCATTCGAGGGCCCAAGCGGTCATAGCACACAGCATGGCCAATGCGTCGAGGCCTCGTGAACGGCCCAAGCAGTCGAGCACTCGTCATTACCATTCGGTCGAAGGTTGGGAAGTAAAGGCACGAGTGGTTGAAACCGTAGTCGTAGCTGATGACTGGTGGTTCATTGTGGCCCAAGCAGGGGAAACGCAGCCGGTGTGTTGTTGTTGAGGATGCGTGTCGTGAGAAAGGAACACTAATTGCAAAAACGCGTCGCGTCGCGGCATAAGTACAATAGAGTGTCAAAAAAACGCGCTTGTGGCAAAGGTCAAGACACGCACCGTACAATGCTCGATGCGAACTTCACCTCTCTTTCTCCTTCTCCCACCATCTTCACTCGCTCGCCCCCTGCTGTCCTGACTCCCATCATGCCAAAATCGAAATCAATCACTCCCAGTAGTCCGCCCAGGAGCCCTCGAAAGCCGCGCCAGGATTATCGACAGTTAAACGATATGCGTGCGGCAAATCGTTCGAAGGAGGAAATCGCTGCAGAGAAGGCGGAAAAAGAGCGACGTCAGCGGGACAAGGTAACGAAAAAGCAGAAGATAACAGCTAACCTTGCGCAGTTCGAGAATGACGCGGTCAATGAACTTCTTGAGAAAGGTCGTCGCGCAGCTCGACCACCGGCTCAGACCCAGCAGAAGGCCAAACGCACTGTGGCTCAGCCTCGCACCACAGAGAAGGTTCCGGATACCGCCACCAGAAAGAGAGCAAAGGTTCGTAAATCTTGATTAAATGAATATCTCGTGAGCTGTTCTGATACCAAACAGGCCCACCAGCAAGAGGACTCGGAGGAGGTCGACGAAGACGACGAAGAAGACGAGCTCGAGGAAGCGCCACCTCAAGAAGCGCCCACCGACAACGATTTCGACGAAGAATCCCACGCCGGCTCGGAAGCAGAGCAGGATGTGGCCCCATCCGGAGACGACGAGAACGACGACTATGACGACGTTCCACAACCGACGAAGGCCAAACCTGCAGCCGTCAAGAAACCGAAGCCAGGAAAAGTCCTCTACGATGGTGTTCAGCGCGCTCGTGAAGAATACAGTGCGTCAGAATGCCGCATACTACACCAAGACTCTCCGGATTTCCTACATTCGCCTTGAGGCGATCCATCTTTCGCAAAACCTGCTGTTTTTCTGGCTTTTGATCATCCCGCACATCGTCCTCATTGTCGCCGACGTCAGGTACCCACATTCCACAGCCATCTCACCTGCGTCTACGAATGCGCACTGGTCGCTACTTAAGTACTTAGAATTTGCGTCATTTTCAGACTGGAGAGGACCCCTGCGTATGCTGACAGAGGTCCCATCCGAAAACCCCCAAAATCGGTCGTTTTCGTCGCACGATTTTGGGGGTGTTTTCGTCGCATCAGGGATGGGACATCGGATTTTTGGCCATTTCCGTCGCACGTCGGATGGAACATCACTCCGCATAAGGCCTTCCCGAACCCTGGTCGTCAAAAATTTTCCCCAAATCATGTTTTTGGCTGTGTTTGCCAAGTTTTTACCCCATTTTTTGCGTCCCCGAGAGACATTTTCGTCGCATAGCGGGATGGAACATCAGCGTCGAAAAGCCGTTTTCGTCGCACTACGGATCGGACGAAACGCGATTTTTCGCTCAAAATTCGTCGCATCAGGATGGGACCTCCGTTAGCATACGCAGGGGTCCTGACTGGAGTCGATATGAGACATCGTGAGAAGACTCCCGTTATTCTTGCTTGGTTCTCTCTTCCAATATGACCTACCCACAAACCGCCTACCTCTGTTGCATACCAGACCACAGCCGCAAAATCCACCAATAACTATATAGGTACATCTACGATACGATTATATATCCCTGAATGTAGTTTATACCAGCCCCTTCCCCTCATCTCCTAGATATCATCTTTTCGGCTTGGCTTTTGGGCCACACAGAGCAAACCAATGAAAACCCGATCTGTTCGCTGTTGACATGCATATGTGAGTGCTCAAAGAGTTTGACCATGAATAATGTGTGAATACTACAAAAGGGACATGTGTTTGTGACGGCGACGAGCGGGCTACACGACAAGGCGACAACGCACGCGGCACGAGAGTGTGGGGCACTATACGACACGTATACGATAGAGTCCACGAGCTCAAGCCTGTCAGAGAGTGTGTATGCGGCAGCTGAGGCAATCGTCTTCAACGACGTCGAGGACGGCGCTGAGTCGGGGGAGTGTAGGGCGGGTGGCGCTATAGGGGCATGTTGACGACGCGGGTCCGATGAGGGTCAAAAGACGGGGCCGCAGGTAATGGAAAGTGTTGCTGGTACCCGCGCAGCTGTCGCACACACACAGACACGCGTTGCGATTCTGAGTGGAGACCACTGGAAGTCGCAACGAAACAAATTAGTCAGTTTTATTCAGGTGGCATGCTCATGCATCAATAAGTTCTGTTTCGCCATTGAAAATCACCCATCAGAGTCAACTTCGCCGACCAGGGACGATTCGACACTTGTTCTTTGTAGCGGTAGAGCGTAGGGCGGACATGGAAGCGGTGATGATCAGGTAGCAGGAGTGACTGCCACTTGAAGACCGTTCGGGGAAGAAGCATGAGATTATAAGCGACACTGATTTACATCGAACCTACAGCCCTCAGTCATCCTACTACTCCTACGTCGCTGAGACATCAAGCCTCCATACCATTTTCTCCAGACAAATCTTCATGTTCGTGCATAAAAGCCGCCGTCATGAGCTACGGAGACATTAGTGTCGGTTCAAACTTCACGCAGAGCACAGGAGCAAAATGGCGGTCATACACACCCTGTCGAGAGGATATACGTGAATCAGTTTCTCTTCGCCGATCGTCATTGGGAGCTTGCGGAAATGGCATAGCACTTGCGACGCGTCTATAATCTGAACTTGCTCCAGTATGTCTTGGCGAAGGTAGCCACCTACGAATCCTTCGTGGAGGCAGGCTCGCTGCAAACTGAAGTTGCTGTCGACCGGGAGGGAAGAGTATTCCTTAACTAGCAAGAATATTGACGATGTGAGGTGGGGAGAGTTGTGCAACCCTTTAGGAAAGAATGGAGTATCCCTGGATATGTCGACGACGTGATGCCGGTGCTCAAAGATACTGATTACGCTTCCTGCACCAGTCCTTCCGGATAGAGTTCGAAAGATGATGTTGCTGTCGCCTGCGATGGAGTTGGAGGTGCAATAGCGTACGCCACGAATAGATACCTTTGTGGCCTTAAGGTGTTGGCGAGAGAGATGTATGTGGCGGAGGGTGGCTGGGCCCTGATCAGAGTAGGCGTTCGTGTGATGTTTTTCGTTCATATACGTTACGAGCATGCGGTATAAGTAGTCTGGCATCAATTCTTCCTCGCCATCTTGCATAAGAACGGTTGGTGGGTGAGTCGGATCGACGAGATAGGCCCGGCGTGTGCCCCGAGAGTCCCGAGAACATACGGTTTCCCATGTTGTGATCATCTTGGATACGTGCGTTCGCACTGCATCATTGTCGGACAGTATAGCCTTCAAGTTCGCTGAACGACCCGAGCTATTCATCATAGTCGACTCCATTTCACCTAGCTCGTGTAAATCAGAGGGGTTAATATAACCAAGTGCTCTGCTACGAAAATACAATGAAAATGCACCTGATTTCCCGTTCAAATTGAGTTCCTGCATGACATGGATGTCCCTTTCGTAGTGGGGAGCACTGTGGGCATGAGTTGGTCCTAGTTCGGTCAGGGTCTCGGGCACATGGAGAGCGGCGTGATGGTTGGGAACAAGTTTAATGTCTTTGTATAATTCGAGTAGGGTTGTGAGGTATCGGTGAATGCTGCTCCTGTAGAGTTCGATTTGCGCGGGGCTGAGTTCACGAAGATTGACGAGGAGAACTGCGCGTATGAGATCGAGTGCGTTGCTCAACATCGCTTTGCGACGCTCCGAAGTTCCATCAATAGCCCAGAGTCGGATAAGGGTGAAGGGAAGATGGACCGTGAATATGACCAGCCATTGATTGGCAGATAACTTGGACTTCTTCAGGAGAGCCCATTCGAGCGGGAAAGACCCCACCCATGATGGAAGCTCGCATCTCTTGATGTCCTCTCGAACGGCGCTTATCGTCTCTCTTCCAAAGACGATACGATCGTTCGCATTGCCGGAGGTGGAAGATTCTTGAGGGAGTCCCCCACCTTCGTTTCTCTCGCTCTATTATCATCAATTCAGAACAAATACAACAACCGAAGAGAACGTGCGTACCCAGGCTAAAAGTTGTTTATACATCCCCTCCTTCGTGAGAGTAAAGTTTAACCTGCGTTCGAAGGAAAGATGACGAAAAATATCTTCCTTGTAGTTCCTGCTCAGTGTCCTGAAACCTACCCCATCTCGCACTGCTTTTGAGAGGTCGGACATCTTTTTGAGTATATCGGTCGAACGCTCAGTGTCTCGCACATCCTTCGTTTTATACGTCCCTGGAGGGGCATTGAAGTCGACGCCTTCGCAATCGACCTCCATGGCATGATCTGACACAACAGAGTTCAGCTGTGACCCTTCAGTCATCGTCGATGTCGAGAAAGCCGACTCGTTATCACCACTCGGTGCGAATGATTTGTCTGCATTTTCGCTCGCGGAGAGCTGCGAGCAGACATCCCTATGCTTTAAAAGGGTTTTAGAAGCTGTGGGCAGAGACTTCAGAGGCAACGTACCCATGATATAAGATTGTCTGCAAGTTGCCATTTTGTACCCGCTGTTCCTATGCCTCGGTCTCGGCATGCGTGCCATAGGACAACCCTCTTGAGCCTTTCGAGAGTCTGATGACGATCGCGACTGACGTCTTCGAGGAATTGTGTACAATGTGCCAGTTCTTCATCTGTCGGACGAGGAAAGCGTTCGGCATTGATTTGGCCTGTACCCTCGCCATCCTCAGCCTCTGGATCGATCATCCAAGCCCGTCGCATATGAAATTCGAGTATACCGAGCCAGAAAATGTGCATGGACTCGAGATCCACGTTGTGTATGGGATCCCAATTCGGAACACGTAGGAGTGGAGTCCACCGAATGCCCGTTCTCTTATATAAAGCCTCTCGTTCGGTCTTGGATGACGCATCTCTCCATTCCTTTGCGTTTTTGATGTGCTCCTCCAGGTCGCGTTTCGGCCAATGTGACTCGTCGAGATCGTGGATGTCTCTCTTCCGTATGCGGCAGCGTGAACAGATCTCGACCATCCGGTAGTCTGCAAACCCAGCAACCTGTCTGGCGGCGTCCATGTCGGAAATCAGAGGGGAGATGATGCACCGTGTACAGCGCCCGCGGGAATATTTCGCTGTTCTGGATATCCAGACACCAGGATCGAAGAAAGGCAACGCGTTGTCCACGATGATATCAAGCACGTAATTGATCTGTGCTCGGGAGGGGCCATTACGACCAGGCAAAGCGCCGACGAAGTAGCGATTCTGTGGTAAGTGTCGGAGGGCAGGGGGAAAGTTGAGAAGGACAAGCCATATTGCCGTCGAGGAGTATGACGCCCTTGCTATCTTATTGTGGAAAGGATTGAAGCCGTCGATGGAGAGACTGAAGACGAGGCGCAACTCGCCCTTTGGTCCAGCTAAGAAGTGCTTTCCGTCGGGCCCTTTGAGGTTTCGAAGTGTGGTGCCGTCCCATATATCGCGAAGTATTCCATCGCTGCTGATACTGGGATGCTCAAGGGCATCTTCCACACCAGGCCGTGCGAGAAGTCGAGCAAGCCATTCTCCCATCTCCTGATGAAGGAATTTCTTGATGGGAACTTTGTGTTCCTGCCCCTCGATGCGGACAGTGTTACAGAGCAAAGCGCCACATATCGAAGACGAATCAGGGTCTGGCTTTCCCGGACATGTTGTAGGCATAGAGGTTTGATCATGTGGAGTGTACGGCAATAGATAATGACAGGAGGGACAGCAGATGTATGGTCGTGTCACTGGATCCAAGCGGTATTGGGAAATTATCGTGCGAGGATCTGAAGGGATCTCGGATGCGACGCTGGCCAAGTCTGGGGCCGTTTCTGCTATCGATCTCATACCAGCAAGCAGGACCTTAGTCCCATCCCGTGGTACATGGTATAGGATATTCATTGTGAGAACGGTGATGTACATCGCAATGAGAGTTGGATGTGTGGGGCCACTCGGAGAAAAATAAAATCCTGAGATAGAGCGCAAGTCAGGGTGAGGCTGCTTCCGAAGCCTACAAGGAGACAGACCGGAATTGACAACTCGTCGCTTCGAATCACTCAAGACCGATCGCTGACGGTGCCACTCCACCTCCTTCTGCGTATCCAGCACGATGAGTGCATTCTCAACTCGCTCTAACAAGCCCTCGCAAACTGCTTTCTGACGCTCCAATATCATACGCTCTGATAAGAAGGATTCGAGCTCTTGAAAGATAGAGCATAGCTTCGATTCGACGAGAAGGAAGTGCTGATTTATCCGTGGCTTCAGCATCAGTGGGTGGTGACCTGTGTTGGCTTCAGTCATATGCTGGCGGCGATGATAGCTGGCCTGATCCTTCGGTTCGTGAACAAAGACCAGAGATCCCGTGGCCGATATGTCCACAAGAGCGCAGATAGTGTCATCGAGTGCGGCGATGCGGGCATCGAGACGAATCAGGTTAGAGGATGGGTTGGGATGAGGATCGGAAGAATGTGCATGAGAAGAGCTGGAGTCGGCGAATGCTGCATAGCGAGGCTGTGTGGAGGCTGTGGTGGGTTGAACAGGTCCTGTCCCGTCTGGACGAGCAAATCGCTCTGGAAGGGGCGGGAGAGTATGCTCCAGTTGTGCTTCAAGAGCCTGTAGCGCAGTAGCTCGCGCGATACCGCGTTGGCGCTGCTCTTTTCTCGACTTCATGTGGCTCGTGGAGGAGAAAAAGAGCTAATAGACGTCAAGGACGCTGAACAGCATGAATGTGTAGTACAGAATATTCTGACGTGAAAACCCCAAGTAGTGGAGGAAGTAAGTGCTGGGTCCGCGAGGTTCTCCAAAAGTATACACACAAGATGTATCGGCGGACCGACTCTTCCGCTTTTTCTCGATAGAGAATCGCATGCTGATGAGTCGGATGATGTACCATCAGAGAGGGAGACTATTTCAGTGCGCGAATGGGGCCTGAAGGCCTGACCGGCCGTCCGCGTCAGCACCCGAGAGGATAGCCTCAGGGCCCCCTATTCTTCAAGGACCCGCAAGAAGAGAGTGGAGAAACATATTTCCCACTTGGACAATATCAATCGTACATAAAGAAGATTTAGAGCGTAAGACGGTTCCATACGGGGATCACCCGAAGAAAACGGAGAACAGATGCTTCCAGCACCGGCAGTGGCGAGTGGGGAAGGAAGCCAACGATATGGACACCATTCGGAGCTTATCGGAGTCCGTGGAATTTGGAAGCCCGCAGCTGGGCTGCACTGGCAACTGTCTCGAAGCTCATGATCAAGCACGGGCTGGGTCGCTTTGTTTGTAAATTACATACCTAGGGAGGTTTGTATTTTACCCCAGCTCTTCCTTTACTGAACGACGGAATTCGCTCATACATTTTCATCACGATGCAAATCCATACGTTTGCGAGGAGGCGAAAAAGCTACAGCAGAGGATCAGCAGAATTTTATATGGCGGCGCTCGGATGGGGACTTGATCGAGATACACTATGGCAGGCATGGTCAACGGCGACATAATGTATGAAAGTACCCGGCAGTCCTGACTTGAGGGAGCACACCCCCGTGCCTGGAGTGACCCTGAGATCGTGTATGTCAAGACGATACCAGCGTCCTTGAAAAGTGCAGAATACAAACTCACCTTGCCGTACGGAAAAACCCCACACTGCTCCTATCCATTCATGACGCACGATAAACACGCCCTTCCTTGGGAGTAAGAGTTCCGTCAGGGTATTTCTAAGCTCGTGTTAACTGTCAGTGCTCGTCTTGCGACGCACTGAGGGAGTGCGGCAGATAGTGAGGATAGCATCGAAGGGGATCAAGGGATTGATGAAAGGATGCATGTGCTGGAAGGTGAGACGGATGTCATGAAGGGAGTAGTGTGTAGTATGACATTGAAACGAACCGATATGCGACTTGTAGACCTTCATCTGATGATCATTTTTAATGGATTACGGACTGACTCAATGGGACTGGGCGTCGAAGTACCAAGGGATGCTTTTGAGAGGTAAAGAGGGGACAAATCCTCTTAGCGGCAGATGCGAGTGTATTCGCAGCTGCGCTACAGAGGAGAGAAAAGGTGTCTTGAAGATTCAGGTACAAGCAAGCCAGGACGAGCGTTGGCAAGCATCGTAGGCGGTGAACTCTGAGCGCTGAGCCTGGGCGCGACAATTTCGATCTCCGCGTTGAATTTTAAGGAACGCAAGAAGCCAGTTCAACTGGGGTAACGCGGCCGACCCAACCGCCTTCCTTTCTTGGATGCACCCAGCCGCGCGGCTCCGGTCCGCCACACGCCTGCGCCACGCGAGCGCGGACTCTGCCTTCGTCTCGACGCTGCCGCCTCGAGTCTCTCAATGGTGTTGTATGAGGTTGCATGTTCTATCGGACAACTCTGAATGTATTAAAAGGATCCCATACAGTGGATAAATATGAGTGTAAACAAAGTAATCAAAGGCAGTCTGTATTTGGCCTGCATACTTATCTGAAACTGGAGGGTTGACAAAATACGCCATACCCACACTCGCCAGGCACGGACAACTTACGCCACCTTCCGTTTTGGGCACATCTGCGTCTGCTTGTCGAGGACTTATCCCGCCCAAAAGAAACATTCTTTTTTCGTTTATTCTCGCGTTAAATCTCGGTGGATCGCGCGCTCGAGCTAGGTTCCGCGTCAGCGGAGACCTAGCTCGAGCGTGCGATCCACCGGTTAGGTTGGTTAGGTTCTGGTTAGGTTCTGGTTAGGTTCTGGTTAGGTTAGTTAGGTTCAGTTAGGTTCAGTTAGGGTTAGGTTCCCCCCGAGCGTTAGCGAGGCCGAACATAAAAAAATGCCCGAACGAGTCTTTAGTGTGCCCACCTGAGAGGATCCGGCTTGGGGGACCCCCCGAGCGCAGCGAGGGAGGGGAGGATCCTCGAACGGTGGGTACTCTTCGGGCGCAACAACGAAAAACATTGTTAAACAATATCTCAGTCTTCCCAAACCGGTGACAGAAATGAGCAGTTAAATTCTCTGATAAGTGTCGATGTTGCCCACTGTGGCGCATCTCGTCGTGTGCCTGGTGCCCCTGCCGAGTATGACTGTGGCGTATGTTGTATATACTCATGAAACTGTGAGGCAGGACCACTAGTACTGAAGAGTTTCAAATTTATCGAGTCAAGCCAAGACATATGGGCGGGTGTACTCGTACTTTTCGGCTTCAGCATTCAGCACTCCCACTCGTTTTGCCCATCTATCCTACCCTGATACAACCACAATGACTCCACCTTCAAAGCCTTTGGCAGCTTCTAGTAAGCGAGGAGCCACCTTTGTCAACTATACACCTGCAGAGGCACAGGGAACGAAGAGTAAAAAAGGGCACGCACACTGGCTGGCGACGGAAATCCCCATCGAGCATCTAGTCCAAACCGAAACACAGCGCAAACAAATCTCCTCTATCCATCAGCACGGTCAGCTAGAAGACCACAGCTTTGAGGCCTCCGACTCAAAGGACCAGATGATAGCTAAAGCGCTTCTCGCTCGATGCGGTCTCGATACAGCCTCATTGGACAACCTCAAGGCTCGTTGGAGTAGGCGGTGGTCCTGGTCATCGAGGGGGTCAAAGACTGATGAACGCTATGATAGAGTTCTGTATCAATGGTACGTACCTGCTTGTTTTGAGGGAATCAAGCGAGACGAGAGAGACCCGATGGTGTTTCATCAGTAAATGTGGTTATGCTGAGGGAGAGGTTGGAACGAAGGAGCGACATGTTCCTTTACCATTCACCGAGTGCCTTGGACATGTAGAGGTCTCTAGGATGGCGTCAACCGGAAATATCATCCGTGTACGTGGATACTTCGCCCAGCCCTCCTTTGTGACTTGTCCCTCCACGCACACTCAGCAAGTTCACTCAACGCCAACCCCAGCTCTCGCTTGCGATCCGTACGCGATGGGCGACGAACGTCCACGGGGGAGCTAGCTCGGATAGAGCCATTAGGTAGTGAGGGTAGCTGCACTGCCTCGGTGTTCGATTGGGCGGGTACATCAGTGCGTCACACCACGATATAAGGCACGTCTATGACAATCTTTGCTTCTACCGTAGCTCGACCAAGCAGTTTTCCAATCGTGCCCAACGCTACTTACAGGTCTACATCATCGAATTGAAGCTCCCACTACTATGAAAACCGCCATTTCGAACGAGTGGGACACGTTGTTGACTATCGAGGACGCATCAGATGAAGACGAACTAGACAAAAGATCGGTGTCGACTCTCCACTGGTCTCCCAGCCCCCAACCGCGATCTCCTTCTCCCCCGCTTGTTGTTTCGAGCCACCACCCTGTGGAGACGAGGACAGAAGTTGAATGGAAGCGTATAGAGGCTGAGAAAAGAAAGCAAGCTCGGCAAGGACGCTATGGTAAGTCATTTGAAAATGGGAACCTTCGCTTTGTACCGACCCATATATACAGACCCCAAGTATGTCGAAAAGCGCGGTCGTGTGTTTTTCTCCAACGACGGGACCTTATACTTCTCCCCGAATTGCCGCAAGCTCCCTCGATGGCAGCCGCCGCACAGAGACTTCGATCCCAAAACTCTCCGAGAGCTCCAGCTCCCGGTCTGGTATAAGCGTCCCGAGGTCGTTTGGAAGTCCTGCGTCATGATCAACATGCCTTTCAATGGCGTTTTTGCTTGCCTCCGAGACCAGTACTGTCGGCAATTAGAATTCAATTCGTCGAGAAACGTCTGGCGTCTCAGTCCTCACGTACAACAACTTTGGAGTGTGGCCCTCGATGCCATCGAGAAGTGTCTTTGGTCCATCAGGGATGGTTCTTTGGGTATGGCTTCACTGATGGAACTACCACCACGGCCGGATCATCTTTTTCGACAGGAGTTTAGACTCCGTGGAGCAGCAAACTCGGGTATCGTTGAAGCTCGCAATCGTATGATTGCGTGGATCAGCGCCTTTTTCTTTTTCGTGCGTTGCTGTGATAGGGTAGTTCCTCTTGCTTCCGACGACCCACTATCCGAACCTTCTGCTCATCTGGCCAAATCGTATCCCAGCTTATTTACGTGGCTCCCGAAATGGTTCAGAATCCTAGTGAGGGCGCATCCCGAGTTGCAGGGTTGGCTGAGCTCGGTGAGGACCTACTGGTCCAACGTTGACAAGGAAAACATACCGGGCCTCTTCTTCGATTTCGATCATTACGGAACAGCTGCACCGCCGCTCTCCTGGCTATACGAAAACGGCATTCCAGTGTGGTATCCTTGGAGAGAGAAGGAGATGCAGTTAGCAGCGACGGATCCCCTCATAGCTCGATTCAAACCCCCAGAGTCTATTTTGGAAGAGGCCGAGGACGAGCGATATGAGGAGGAACATGCGCGATGGGAGGCTGGCTTGGAAGCAGAGGTGGAAACGCGGCAACGCTACGACCGTGATCTGTCACGTCAGCGAAGAGAACAAGAAGGTCGCTCAGTATCCCATAGGACGCGCGCTCGAATTATGCGTCCATCACGTTCTCTGATGTCCGCCGGTACGACGCAACGTCCACCAATTTCGTTCGCTCCCATTACGAGTCACTCGCTTTCATCGACGCAGTTTGCGACGCCCGTGGCGCCGCATGAATCCCATGATAGGCTTTCCAACTCTAGAACGTTTGAGTCATACTTCATAGCAGATGCATTTTCCGAAGCACCACCTATGCCCACTTTGGCGATGCCATCGTCGCTCTCGCCCTCATCTTCTTCACCGCTCGCGAGACCACCTAGTCCATCACACCCTTTGAACAACTCGTCGAGTTTTCCCCTCGTGCAGACCCCTGCCACTCCGTCTCCGCACTTGCATTTGCCCGTTCCATCGCCCGCGTCTCCGCCCAACGCGTCGACCTTGCTGCCCAACCCATCCGTTGCTTCTCATACGGCGTCCAGCCCCCCCTCCGTCACATGTTTTTCTCCACCGCTCGCAAGGCTACCTAGTCCACCACTTCCTTCGGACGACTCGTCGAATTTTCCCCTCACGAAGACACCTGCCACGCCGTCTTCGCACTCGCATTTGCCCGTTCTGTCACTCGCGTCTCCGCCCAACGCGTCGACCTTGCTGCACGACTCGTCCGTTACATCTCATACGTCATCTAACTCCCACTCTGTCATATCTGCGTCCACGCACACTTCAGATATGTATCAGTGTCAGGTCCCGGCTCGTCCCTACGGACAAGATCTTGTAGCCTTCTTCCATCGTCACTCAGCAGAAAACGCGATAATTGAGAGCCACGAGGCGCCCGAAGAAAGGGATTGTAGGATCCGTCGCGACAAAATCAACGGCAGTGTTAGAATCTACGAATGGGCAGAGGAGCTTGCAGTCCAGGGTAGCTTCATGGTTCTTTCGATGTCGGAGAGGAAGTACACCGACGTGCATGCACGTATGGAAGGCGCCAGGGAGCTACTAGCTAATACGGCGCTTTCCCACCTCTACGATTCACATCGCAACGAACTCCATTTCGTGTCCGCTATCGATACATTTTGCCCCCCCAAGATACAAAAGTATCGTCAACTTCATCCCGAGTTCATCGACGAAGAGGAAGAGCGCACATTCAGCCCTGAGATCGACGCCTCTACCGGTACACGAAGTATTACATTTGAAGACGACGCTGTGGCGGTGGCGACCATTCGTTTTGGTTTCAATCCACGATCAGTGGAGTCAGTTGAGTCCAAGGTCGATCGAGAGATGTGGAAAATAGTTCTTAGCAAGCTCCAGAGCATGGCACCATCGTTGGATACGGTCTCGTCGTCTCTTGCTCAAGGAATTTGGGAGTTTCTCGAATCTTTTGCCAAGGAGCCCACTCATAATGTGTCCAAACACCCCACCGAGACGCAGTCCTCTTTTGCAGCCAGAGTCGTCCCCTCTTCCACCGCCGATACACCGATGTCCACCATTCCTCTCGGCAGCGGCCTCCGCGCAGTGATCCGAGACCTGGTATACATTCACCAGAGCCCACACGCTACGACTGGACCCGACGCTGGACCACGCGTTGGGGGGAAACACAATGTCGACCATGAAGCAACCTCACCCCTTTCGAAAATGTGGACCATCGACTCCCCAACTCTTGTGATGGTTGGTCGCGGACGAGCGATGGAGGCCTCGCACCAGCCTTCGGCACTCACGTCCATGACCACTTGCTCTGATCAGTGGTGCCTCGTAGTAACCTCCGCATGCGATGCATTACATGCAAGTAGGTTACTTGCCGGTGGACTCGACACCACTGACGTTGCTCTCCATCTGTGCGAGCGAGCTATACCGTTCCGAACCGTGGTGTGGAGAGGCCCGATGGAGCCGGAGCATCGACCAAAACCAAAACCCGTACGTTTCGATGGGCATGTTTGGAATAGTTGGGACTATCGCGAGTACCTGCGGGAGCGATCCGATCTTTTGCGAATTCCCTGGATCAGGCGCGCGTGTTACTTAGCTGGTGGGATTTTGTGGCGTATAGCAAACGAGGTTTGTGGACCACCGTCTAGGGAGATGATAGAAAAAGGACCTTCTGAGGGAGCCAGACGCGGCGAGCACGCTTCCAATATCCGCGGCTGGGTAGACGATGAACTTTCGGAGGATATCATGGCCTTGATGATAGGGCTTTATCTTTGCCCTCAATGTACGCACATTTCTTTTTGTCATTCATCAAACTCTCAACTAAGCAAATGAGCAGACCCTAGTCAAGAAGTTGATGAGCTCCGAGAACTTGCTTCTGGACAAGAGCAGGGACGAGCTAATCTCAAACGGCTTTCGTGGTGGCCCCTGCCCTCTACGTTTTGGCACTACAGCCTGGGAAGTCTGGGTCACTGGAGCCCACGGAATGAACAATGGTATACCGATCGTCGGAGAGATTTGGAGCTGTGTTATTTAGCAGATCAGGTGTCATCGAATCCTGTCCCTCCTAAGGGGGCAAAGCAGTGGAGGAATACCACAAAGTTCGGTGGGTTCAGTAGGCGCTTACTTACGATTACAGAGGACAATGCCGGTTCAATGATTCGTTCCGATGGTAAATCTTTGGAAGAGTCGGGACTGCCATACATATCTTAGGGATGTATTCTCCGCGGAATGGTTCTCCTAGGGATGTATAGCGCTTGTAAAGTTTGTTTTCCCAGTAATGTTTTGTGTGGTCTTGGTCGATTGTGGTCTTAGTCGATATCTGTGGAAATTATAGTAACTGCATCTATCGAACAGCTACTGAAAACTCGCTGGTGAGCCTGAGTTGCCGTTAGCCGGGATAAACAGAAGGCGCGTCGCAAAACATTGTGGCATATATTTCAAGGTAATCAACTACGACTCGAACATGAGGGCGAAGAGGAAGAAGAAAAGCTACGTATGTTGGGAATTTGATGATATATTAGGCTTTGAGCCACTGGACTAAGATGCCTGCGAGGGCCTTCTCGACAAGGATCAATCAGCGCAAACTATCCAAGATGTTGTCCGAAACGAAAGCATCAAGGAAAGAAAGTGGAACATTGGAAACCGATTGAGAGTCCAGGGTACATTCAAGACGAATTGGAGACATAGTTTGAGTTTGGGCCACGCAACGCGGCTAATATCCACCGTTTCCCAACCCCTGTCCAAAGAAAACTGACCAATTTTTGGCCTTTTCCTTTCCTTTCCTTGATCCACCGGCTCTCCTGCTCTTCTCGTTTTGGAGACTCCGCTCTGACCTCTCGCCCGCCTCAATGGCACCCATTGACGACGCCTCACACTCACCTGCCTCTGCAGGTAGGACCTCAAGAAGTCCTTCTATGACGAATGACCGAGCCGGCGATGCGACCAAGACTTCACGGCATGTGGGGCATTCGAACTGTGGTCCAAGAATTTGTGCTTCCGAGACCGAAGAGAGAGTTTGGATTGACCTCTGACTCTCTGGTGCTAGATCTCTACAGAGTGTGAAGAGACCGGACCGAAGTGAGTTTAGGATGGGGATCGCATCCGGTGAAGAGCGAGGATCTAAGCCGAGGCGGAGAACTTCATTGAGATGGTTGGGCCTCCAACGAAACTTCATAGCTTCTTCGTTCTTGTCCAGCTCGCGAGAAAACCAGGCGTGTAGACAGTCTGCACAAAACATATGACCGCAGGTAGTGCTACGTAATTGATGTTCAGCAGAACACCTGTAGCAGTCGGATAAATTACACTTACATGACGGGGTCAATTAGACGATCGTGACAGATGGGGCATGTTGTCAGAGCCTTAACAGTGTTTACCTGTGTCGGAGGTCGGAACATGAGGATCAATTTCATGGTTGCAACCACTGCTACTGAGGAGAAACAGTTGACGCACGATGTTGTCCGTGGGCCCTGCGTCCTTATCCTGGGACAGAAACGGTTATACAGACAACATGAGATAAGCTGCCATGCCCCGTGCTATCAGAAGATCCCGATACTGGTCCACACCTTTGTCAACGGCTCTTTCAAGTTCCCTGGTTCGCCAACATCCAGCAGCTTCTTCGACGGCCCGGGCACCTCCAGAAACTCTCCCTCATCGTTCTCCTCAATAGTACACACGACGTTGGTCGCGGAATCTCTAGAGTAGGGTTTATTCGTGGACCGGGAAGCGGAGGAGCGAGTAGCAGGCATGTCTCCTAGCGGATGCAGGTGCAGTGAGGGGAAAAGGCTCAAGAATGTCAAGAAGGAGCGCGCTAGCAGAGGATTCAGAGAGTGCAATTCCAAAGGCGGAGAAGAAAGGTCATGGATTGGGTCTTATTGGTCTCCGTTTTTTGGTCAAGCCATCGCGGTATCCATGCCCAAGCGCCCGTTACCCGCCACAGGAATAACCACATGCACACTGTTATCCCCGCACAGAAGACCATCGCTTCGCTCCGGCAGTTGCAGCGTTCAGCTCCTGGCCATCAAGTTACCTTGCTTGCTAGGTCCTTGTCCTGGAAGGGGAAAGAGTGGAGGTTTCAAAGGACGTGAGTGTTTTCGTGTTATTCTGGCCTCAGGGTATACTGCTGGTAATTGTTAGTCTCCCACAGGCAGACCTTGGTGTTAAAGATAAGATGTTCAACATGTCAAGGTCTGCTACGGAACGCGCCCCCGAGACCGTAGGTCGACCTTCGAGAACCAATGTCGGTATTAATGTTGGTGTTAACGCAGCAAAATGAAATTCGGCAAGCTGTGGCGAGCTGTGGCGCTCCAAGCCGCACTGATTGTTTGGGCTAAGATGTTATTTTGGCGAATCCAATTCAGACCCACAGCACGACACCTCCACTCTATCATATACTTTCTCTGCCGCGTCGCCTGCGACCGCGATAAGGCCTGACCTACGACGTCGAAATGTTTGGGAGATGCGTGTGGCGAGAGGTGGCGCTGGAGGACTGATCGTGAGAAGTTCTCTTCGGGTGGCTCCCCAATCCGACAACGGAGCACCGATAGTCCCTCTATAGTAAACTTATTGATTTGGTCTTTTCCGGCGCAGATAGAAGTATCTTTTGCACGAGGTGCACCTTTCCCAGCTGATTTTTCAGAGTCGGATCTCCCAGCTGGTAATTCGTTTTCCGCGCAAAATTTCAAGATATATTACCATACTGAGGTGCTCCGCACGCCCTTATATCTCTTCCCTCTCTCGGTCTCATTGCTCCTAGCATGGCGACCCACATTTCTCAGGGCTCTCAACGGCGCGTACGTCGCGTCAATACAATACAAAACCTTGGCAGGGTCGTTCTACCCACATCCGAGTCGATCCCTACCTCCTATCCCCCTCTAGACCGCTTTCATCCTATCCTCTCTGCAATACCGTCTGTGGAATGCCTCAATGCTGCATCTACCGACGACGAGGATAGACACACCTCCATGAACATTGTTCCTCCCCTCCATGCTCAAACCCAGTTTAGCATCAGAATCACCGACTCGATCCATCTGGTCGACTCTTCCAACCTTTCTTCTTCCTTCGACGACCTTTTTGGCCAGCGAGATATCGACCATGGTGTCTCTATCCCTTCTACGCACGCTGCCACCGATACCCTGAAACCTTCCATCCACAAAGTCGCCACTCCTCCTTCCGACACCGCTATGGCCCCTTCTGATGCAGCGACCCCTTCCACTCTCGATGTGTCTGATCATGGTGCTGGCATAGCTATGGCAGATAATGTCACAAATGCAGCCTCAGCTCCCTCGTCGGTCCATGGTCGGTCTACCAGGAGGGTGGTCGTAGTACTCAATGGTGACTCATACGCGATATCACCTGAGAAGGTCACTGAAGTTCACTAACTCCTTGATATATCAAGGAAGGCGTAGTATACTTAGCCATTGAAACCAGAGGGTTCAGTAAAGTGACTCGTCTCAGTACTTTAAAGTACTGAGGCTTCTGGGGCACTATGGTATAGTACTGTGCTAGTAAAAGTGCGCAATGCTGGTTTGTGGGTATAGTACTTTTGCTCGTTGTAGTACTTTCTGCTGGTATAGTACTTTTCGCTTGTTTAGTACTTTCTGCCAGCCTAGTACTTTCTGTTGCCGCAGTATTTTCTGCTGGTGTAGTACTTTCCACCCTCGTAGTACTTTCTGTTGGCGTAGTACTTTTCATCGGTGTAGTACTTTCCACCCTTGTAGTACTTTCTGTTGGCGTAGTACTTTCTGCCCTTGTAGTACTTTCTGCTGGCATCGTACTTTCCGCTGGCATCGTACTTTCTGCCGGCATAGTGCTTTCTGTCGACATAGTACTTTCTGTCGGCGTAGTAC